TAGTGCTTCTATTATGTAGACAGATTGTTTTGACTTGGTTAATTTGGACGGAATCTTTTTAAGGTCGTTGTAATAATGGATTTTATTAGTACAAATTAATTTTTCTGAGACTTTAGTTGAAAAGTCCCATGTGTCTGTAAGTTCAGCACCCCTGACTCTTCAAACCCAGAACACAGTAATGCTCGCATTATTGCTTGGCGGCAGAAATAGGTAAGGCGGCAGTTCTTCCCTAGACCAACTCTTCCACAAGGAGATCAGGAGAGTGACACTAATGCATGTATTAGAAACGATTATTATTGATCTGTAGTTTTAATTAATTTTGATTCCGATATCTCTTGTATATTACGAGACGCGAGTGGATGACTTCAGCGCCATACTGTGAAAGCGGGCACCATCGTCTCTGATGCGTGGAGTTCGAGGCAGCGCCAATGGCCTCTTTCGGACGATAGCTGAGATGGATCAATACTGCTGTCCACTAACTAAAAAGCGGGCAAGTGACAAATGGTCAAATATCCGTTTTAAATAGCAAAAGATAGAGCACAAAATTCTATTTTAAAAACAACTAATATTATTTAACGTGTTCAATTTATCGGAACTTATCCTAACGATGCGTAACTGAAATATCATTAAATAATTTCAATTTTCTAAAACTGGGTTACGGTTTCTGATCACATTCCAAAAAAACATTTTGCCACTTAACTTAAGGGCGTCTCTGGTGGACCTGGACTTGGGTATGGCTTCGCTAGGGTTTCTGGTTAGTTGTAGGGATGAACACATTCGTCTGCCCCGGTAGCATGAGTATGTGGTCGGGGTGTTCATCCCGCGCGCAGCTAGCGCGTCTTAGTCTTGGTCAAGACGAGGAGACGCGCTGCGCACGTGAGTTACCATTTAAGTTGAGAGCTATATCCGGACATTGTGACATTGTCGCAGGACCCTACTACCGGCGGCATCTCTGGCATTAACCTGGAGAGCTAATAGAGGATGAGCTAGACATCCTCCGGTTTCTCCAGCCGCTTAGGTTATTGGGAACTGAAGAGACGCTTTGGCGTCGGAAAATGAGCGTTTAAATGTATGTCACTCGTAACTCCGCTAATTCGGACGCTTATTTTGATTTTTAATACTGATAATAAGATGGTACCAAGTAAACCTGCGATGTAATTGTAATGATATTCAAAAAGGTCAACAGATTGTCAAGCTTATTGCTCTTTTTAGGCGGTGATTATTAAATACAATATCATATAGTACATTATTGCAGAGACCGGGAAGTAAGGGATTGCTGGACGAGTACCTATGAGTTACAAGGACGAGCGCCAGCCAGATTATTAAAAGTAATATTTAACGTGTTAAGACAAAATTGCTAAAATATTTTCTTTTCCAGCACATTAATAATACTCTGCTGAACGTCTTATGATGTGTTTGAATGTGTATCTATTACTGTAATTTCGTTATCGCTCTTCTCATTATCAGTCATTTTCGCCACCAAAATACGAAAAACACGAAAAATCACAAGAATACCAAAACATAGGAAATGAAACTATTTTTCCGGATTTAAATCGCGTATATTTGTTTTTTCAAACAAACCGACGTTTCTAGACGTTTATAGTGAAAAAATTTGCATCAATATTAGACAAAACTGGTTGAAGACTGTACCACCTCAGTCAACCGTGACCATGGGTCCTGTAAAGGGCCCGAAACGTCGGTTTGTTTGAAAAAACAAATATACGCGATTTAAATCCGGGAAAATAGTTTCATATCCTATGTGTAACAATCGCGAAAACCAAAGAACTCGGTAAATACCAAAACACTTTAGTTTTTATGTTACCATGATTTTCTATTTATTTTTTTTAAGTACGAGGTACAGGTAGGTATTTTCAATTCTCGCAATTATGAACACTGGGAAGTTGGCTGTCTGAGTTTCTTTTGCCTGTTTACATAGTTCATTATTAGTAGGTAGATTTAAAAGTTTAGAGAAGAGGACAAGATTGGAGTTTCATACTTTGCAGGCGTTGGCCGGGAAGAACGAAGAAGTCGCGTGGTCCATAAATGACAAACTTTCCGTGTCTGTTTTTTGAAAGTAACGCAAACATTTCCGAGCATTTTTAATATTTTAAATAAAAAGCCAGTGCTAAAATGTTACTTAGTTTTGAGAACAAAACAAAGAAGTGCCATTTATACAGTATTGATTTCAAACTAACAAATCAAAAAGGACATCTTCCATTTCGATTTATAAAGAGTGATTATTCAGGAGATGGCCAAACTCTTAGAATAATAAAGCATATAACATTGACTTACAAATAAATGGACGACGGGTCTAATACAAAAACCACGAAAAAATGTCCCAAGTCAACCTACTTAAACGTAGTGCAAAGGAATATGAAAAAGCTAAAACGTTGAATTTAAATTGTAATGTCATCGCAGTACTGTCTAATTTTGGTTGCTTCGCTGTCAGTCAAACAAACGAAGACTAAAACGTGAATGACGTTCTGTATACGATTTTAACGCCCTATAAGTTCGGACACTTTTTAGCGCGGACCCGACGTCCATATAATTGTAAGTCAATGGCATAGAATGCTAGTTTCATATCAAACGAACTGTCACAAGTGAGGCAAAAATCAAATTCATGTAGGCTAGTTTTAGTAGTAGGTTAATTTTCGGTTTTAGTGAATATTTATATAAAAATACAAGTTGAAACGCGTTACTTCCTTATGGGATGTGATGTTAAAATTTATTTTATGTTTGTCTGACGTATTTTTACACTCATTTACCGCACATTTCGTCATTTTTAGCTAAAATTCTTGAGCTGTTCGCGGTGCAAGTTGACCTTGAGCACTGACTACTAGGCCCATTGGGAGCGCTTCAATTTGCCTCACTTAGCGTGTGCGGACTAGGTTTCTATGCGTTATTATTCTAAGGCAAAACTTTCTATTTATTTAAAATTTCCTATCAAGGGTGTTAATTGGGGTGCATTGCTTTAAGAATAGGTAAAAGCCCATGTGTGAATATGAAGGAAATGTAATGTCAAATCGGCCTGCAAAATTTGTGTACACAATAAATTTTTTTGCATTTCAGTTTCAGCTTTGTGCTTTAAGTTCCGAGTTTGAGGAAGTAAGGCGACGATTTGTTAGATTTTCAACGACACAATCATTTTTCTTCTAAGATGAACGGCACAATTAAATATTAAGACTAATTTTCATGATTGTAAATGAATTTCAATATAGCTAGTTCTGCATTTCTTTTTTATATTTCATACTTCTTATTTAATGTGACACCTCCAATTTTCGCGATTCAATGCTTCTTATTTTTTATTATATCCAAAGTTAATTTATATGAATTGAAACCCCATAGTTTTACTAATATACTTTATAACCATTGCTTAAGTAACACAATACAAATTATTGTTATTATTCCGTCTTGGGGCACTGATCGAGAGGGACGCATTTGTTGGAGGCTTTGTCCCGGACAGTGGGTTCGTCGCAGTAGCAAGCTGAGAAGTCGCAAAACATTCCACGGGTGTCCGCTTTAGGTTCTGGGTTCTCGCAGGTGGCTTCGGGTACCAAATAGTCGCACCCCAACGAGTAGCTGTGAGTGCCTTCTGGACACTCCTGTGAACCTGGGAAATAAATAAAAACTTATTTCTTTGTTTTTCTTTTTATAAAAAAATAAGTGCGCATTTGACCTCCATCTCACCTGATGGAAAGTGACGATGAGGTCGAGGATGTAGCATGCGCACATAAATAATGCCTATTCACTCTTGCCTTGAAAAGGTCCAAGTTATAGCGTTCGGGGAACAAGTCTGCAGGCAGGGAATTCTACTCCCGAGCCGCTCGCCATACAAATGTGAAAGTGAAACGCGGAGTGCGAATCTGGGGAATATCCACAACCCCAGCCCACGTCTAGTCCCCCGATGATGGAAAGGGGAAGGCGGATTAAAGATGAACAAAAAGAAAAAAAAATATTTACTAAACTAAAAAATTCCCTAATTGAAAAAGTTGTTACTCAGTAATTGATTTTTGTTAATGATAAAGACATCGCTTTAAATTATTAATGACTATTTAACGACCTAATTTATGTAAATGAACATAAAATTCGTACATTTTTATTGAATTGATATTCAATTATTTTTGTGTAATTACTCCTCTAGTTTGTTATAATTATTAATACGGCCCGTAATTCCCGTACCGCTCCCGTGAAGCATACAATGTTATAATTTACATTTGCGAGTTAATAGTGTGATTGCATGCAGGCTAGGTTGACTATAATGCCGCAAATATAACTCTCGGGCCTTTTTTCTTCTCACTAACCGACTTCAAAAAAGGAGGAAGTTCTTAATTTGACTGTATTTTTATATGAATGTTACGCGATAAGTATAAAATTCTTTTTTTTTGTTGGTAAGAGGGTACCTCAGTATTGGTCCCATTTAAATTTTAAAATAATATTCTACCTCTAAGGGTGGTAAACTAGGGTATGAATCCGGTTTCGGGCACTTTCCGGTAACCGATTTTGAATAGAACTTGGCAAATAGATGAATTCCACGAACTTTTGAGGCCGGTTTTTTAGTAGGTACTCTGTACTGAGATTATTACAGCCAAGGTCGTGTAATGAGAAGAAAAAAGGCCCAAGGCTTTTATTTTGCATCAAGTGTGATGAAAAATACTTATGTATATTCCTTCAATGGAAAAATACCAGAAAATGTTCTACTTACATCTTAAGAAATAAAGTATTTTTCCGGATTTAAATCGCGTATATTTGTTTTTTCAAAGAAACCGACGTGTCGGGCCCTTTACAGGTCCCATGGCCACAGTTGACTGTGAAATAGTTTCATTTCCTATGTGTAATAATCGCGAAAACCTAAGACCTCGATACTTACATTTTCCCATAATATAGATGCACCCTCGTTCGTGAGGCTTGGCTGTAGCAAAACCAATAACCACGAAAACACACAAAGCGACCAAAAGCTTCATAGTAAATATTACGCGGGAGAATTTATACGAGCAAAACAACTTGTTACGTCGAACCAAATTAAGCAACTGGACGTGGAATTTTAATAGGTCGTCTTTTATATTCCGTGACCGCCGCCATTGTGTAGGTACATCGTCAACAAACCATTACTTGAAAATGGACTTTTAAATGATGACGCATTACTCGATCGCTATTAACTATTATAAGACAATATCATTAACTACAATCAGTTGCACCTACAAGTTAATTTAAAATAAAGTTTGTGAGATTATAGACCGATTTCGAAAATTCTTTTTTTGTTTGATAGTATGCGTTCTCGTGGTGGTCCCATTGTTACCCAGTCAGAATCTGAATCCATGGAAATCGAGGATAATCCTCAGATTGTCAGTGTACATACCCATTTATCCGTCAATTGTGTACCGACTTTTTTTTTACACACATAAAAAAATACATATTTTAAAATTAACTTATATATAAACCCATAGTCCCAAAAAGTAGGTAAACTGACAATCTGATACACAATAAACAACACGGAAGAAATAAAAGTATGTATGTGGTCTATGATAAACAATTTCAAGGTATGAATAGATATAGCCACAGACATATAGACATAACACATACAACACAAAGAACACGTGCACAGGAACAACGGAACAGAACAAACATATTCAGCAAATGCGTATTTCGTCTTCCGAACACTGCAAGAGTGCACACAGAGGTAACTCGCTGCGCTCAGGACCGGTCGTGTCATTACGTAACGGAACACAAGTCGCAATTGAATTGAAAAATAATTATTAACAATGCATTGAATGAGAAAAAAAAATGTTAAATAAAAAGAAGTATAGTCTTTGCAATCCATCAGTGAACCAGTTCAGCTATTTCCAATTTGTGTTATATACAATTTATAATAATAATATTGCTATCACGGCATGCGAGAACCCCGGAAAGGCTTACATTGGAAAGAACATACGAGAACATGGTTTCCACTTAAGGTAAGCACAATAGTTAACTAATCATATTACAATTAATTCATTACTATAAATATTACAAAATCTAAATATTAATAAGGTAAATTTCATTTCAGACAATAACATGAATCACAATTAATATTCTTTCAATCAAATCCAGAGATGTTAAATATGAGCGTCAAACTTTATCAAGAGGAATGAGAATGGGTGGTATGCAGACCAGAAACTTTAGGTAAGAACAACATATTACACTGCTACTACATACTACTATAGAAAGATTACACATTTTTGATGGTATTACGTAAATGTTAAGCACCAATCATTATTTATTTGTTTTACTGCAGGACTCCTGACTCCATTATAAAGCTCAAGACTCAAGACGGCTCACTTGTTACTAGGAGAACCTATAATCTATTTGTATACCTCACAACCGTCGACATAATACGCAAACAAGAGGAAGCAGTGCAAATACAACAAGACAAGTCACACTACAATAATAGACAACAAAAAAAAACAAAGAAATCACAAAAACCGTTTGAACATTATTTATGCATAGTATTAGTTTTATTTTATATAAGTTCAATGATGTGGTTTTTAAATCTTAATAGCGACTTATCAAATATTTCTATACTCATTAATTTGCTATTATATAAGGTACATGCTCTTTTTACAAACTATTACTTCCATAGCAGGTCTTACTTGGTTTAATGGCAAATAGTGGTTTTTTACGACTTGTTCTTTCATGCTTATAAGGTACACGAAAATAAATTTGTCTCAATAGGAAAGGGGCATCAACCATGTTATATAATATTTTAAACAAGTACGTGACGTCAGCGACCTCGCGACGTTGCTTCAAGGTGTTAATTTTATGGAATGTAAGGGATGAGTCATAATCTGTGTGCTGGTGACCGATTCTATAATCCAAGGATTTAACAAATTTTCGTTGCATATTTTCAATTTTACTTTGATGAACCTGTTGATACGGATTCCAAACTGGACTTGCGAATTCCAGCCGACTTCGCACGTAACTGTTGAATAATAGTTTATAGGTAGAAGCGTTTTTAAATGGTTTTCCTACGCGTAATATAAAACCCAAAAATTTGTATGACCTATTAACAATAAGATTTTAAAAATACTTTTGAAAGGATATACTCTCGAGGTGGTCTCTGATGCCGAGGAAGCTGTTCCGGGTTCGTTTCGGCTATCACAAATGAAAAAAATATTTTGCGCGAGTAAAAGTCGACTTTTCACCTGACACAACATACACTTACATGTAATCAACACATCACCGGCACCATAACAACCAGAAAAAAAGTTAAAAATGTACAAAGGAGTAAGTAGCAGTCATTGTCACCAAGAAGTCAGGGATCAACGAGGAGAGTGAGACATTCGTTATTTGAATTGAAAGTAACGACTTTGTTATCATAGCTTGGTTGAAATTGTGGTTCATGTTGTGAATAAATAAGCTGTTTTACAAAATATAATGGTTTTTCTTACAATATTAATTGAATGAGCTCAAGTTCAACCACAAATCTAAACTAAATCTTTTATTAAAATAATTCTTCATGATCTCTATCTAAGTAGTCACAGTTTTTGTCCATGCCAGGCAAACGAGTCACGGTGCACAGTGAGTACTAACTAGATTCTAGGAACTTAGGGCTTGTTGCTATAAAAAAAAAAAAAATTTTCTCGTTACAAATCCGATATTCCGATAGGAAATTTTGACGATAGGACTGTGGCGCACCTAGCTTTTTCTTTCGTTGAAAAAAAAATTGACACGCGATTAGTTTATGTAATATAAATCCGTTGGTATATTTTATTCTTACTGTTGTTAAACATTAAATTGACAACGATAACCAATTTTGTTTATTAAAACTGATTTGTTATAGCTGAACTGTTTTTCTTTCATCTACCATTTTCTTCGCTATAGTGAGGTGAAAAGTTGTGTGTTTCGCTCGGCAGCAAAGTTGTTTTGTGTCTCGTCTCTTGAAACCGTCGCTACGCTCAGGATTCTATCTTAGAATCCATTGACTTACAATTATATGGACGTCGGGTCCGCGCTAAAAAGTGTCCGAACCTATAGGGCGTTAAAATCGTATACAGAGCGTCATTCACGCTTTAGTCTTCGTTTGTTCGACTGACAGCGAAGCAACCAAAATTAGACAGTACTGCGATGACATTACAATTTCAATTCAACGTTTTAGCTTTTTCATATTCCTTTACATGTCACTACGTTTAAATAGGTTGACTTGGGACATTTTTTTCGTGGTTTTTGTGTTAGACCCGTCGTCCATTTATTTGTAACTCAATGTTAGAATCCTTCGTTTGCTCAGGTTTCTATACAAACACTCGCGTTAAACAACAATTTTGCAACCTTGCACACCATCCTTCCCTCCTTATAACTAACATAATCGACATATTTAGCTAAATTGAGATATTAACATGTCTGGAATCAGTAAAAGAGGACTTCAACTCCATATAAGCGCAACTGAACCAGTGACTCAGATGGTTAGAGTGAATGCTACGGTGCAGCATGGACGCTGGTGCAATACCCACCGGGTGGACAAATTTTTTCTACTTTTGCATTCATAATATATATAATTTAATAATCACCACAACACTAGTGGAGTCATTTCACATTTCATCGAAAAGCGACATCTGCCTCAGAGGTAAGAAGGTTATTCTAAAATCTCTCACTAGATGTCACTAGCGGTGACGAATGCCGACAAGTCAGTATAAAGATCTATAACAAAAAACACACAGGAGAATTTCGACGGCTCGGTAACTGGACTCGTGGCTCTGATGGTAAGAGCAATGCTAAGGTGCAGCATGGTCGTGGGTTCAATTCCCACCGGGTCGACGAAATTTATCTCTGTGATCCATATTTGTATTTAATATTACACAAAAAAAAATCATTAAATCCAAGTAAGCGGTTTTTTTTTTGTATCTTACCTAGTTTCAGTTAAACGTTAATGAGAGTTATTGATAAAAAAAACTTTAGGTTTTTTTTCCTGCAGGAAGATGCGTTTCGCATGTCCCGCCGCGGGACATGATAAGGCGGGGTTTGTGGGACCATATCGAGTATGTAACAAGAAAAATAGAGACGAAATAAGGACCATCCATCCCTGGCAACTCATCAGGCAAATGGGCCTTATATAATTTTTAAATATCAACTCTCGTAAGCGATGAAACCACAAATTAGAAAACTGAAATATTACAGAGCCAACAACTGACCTATGTGTACGTCTCCGTATATTCCAAAAATAATCTGTGTTTATTGTAATAAAGATAATATATCTAACAATGCGGGAAGGCTGTTTCATTCGGTGGTGTGAGAACAGCAAAACATCTAATTACAAAGCAAACGTAATCAGATTTCATCGGTAATTAAATGTAAATACGTAATTTAGCAATTTTCGTCTTTTATGGCAAAGCTCAAGTCAATTGGTCGATTTGTAGTGAAACAATTGACGACACCTGTCAATTGTTTCGAATTCGGGCTGGCTACAGTAGCAGAATAGTTTTCAAACAAGTTAAATAACATTTCGTCTCTGTTTCTGGTTATATCCGACGTGTGGGACTCTCTTCCGTTGACCCACCCGGCGATACAAGCCCTCCCGATGGATCCTCGGCAGCCTGCTCACTAAAAACCTAGGTATGTAACCTCACCCACCGGTGCCGGCTAGTGGGATCCTGTTAAGACTCACCACCCTAGGTACCAATACTTCGAAAGTTATCAAAAATCAAAATGCGTTAGTTACAACAAGGTAATGCGTCAGTTATGAGCAATAACGATAGATCTCAACGTTATGATAATGAGTACGTACCGGTAACCCAGAGGCTAAAGAGTTGGCATAGCTTCATTAAGAAGTATTCCCTCTGGACGGGGAAACTAATCAAGTCCGTATATATCTCTGGAAGGAGAGATACCCCACGGTATCATTCATTCCGCTGACGGAGCACCTCCCTCCTAGGCATAATCTACCTTGGCACACTTGGAAGTCTTTAAATAGACTGCGGACCCAAGTCGGCCGAAGCAAGGAGAGCATGCACAGGTGGGGTTATAGCTCTGAGAGCGCATGTTTTTGTAGTGTCTCTCCCCAGACTATGGCACATCTTTTGTCTTGTCCTGCGTGCCCCTACACCTATACAGGCGAGAAACTGTATAACGGTACTGATAATGCTGTGTCAGTCGTTGAGCACTGGTCCTCACAAATATAAACGTCAGAGTAGACACGCTAAGAAGAAGGAGAACGTTGTGATAAACAATTAAAATCAATTAGGTAATGTCGTTTTTATGATGTGGTTCATCACCGAGCGATTGTCACTAATTAATGTACAGATTAGCTAACAGCCAGGGCCCTAATTTTAAATCATTTCAATTATGTGTCCATGGAGTGTAAATGGCGGTTACCTATCAATAGCCCGAAATGACACTTTCCAGAAATAACGTTTGATCGAAATTTCATAAACTCGAAAGTAATTTTGAGAGGAAAATGTTTTTTCTTTTAAACCTAACTTAACCGAACCTAATCGTGTCTTTGCGATAAACTAACAACATATCCTGAAAGAACAACTGTTTCGTTATAATTCGGTGTAATGAAAATTCGAAACAACGTTATTTCGGACAAAAAATGTTCGACTTTGTGATAGGTTACCGTAGTGGCAGAATTTGTACGTTTGGTATTCTACTAAAAGTTAAGCTTGTCAGTGGGTAGCCGTCGAGCTACTATTCAACTGCCATTGCAAGTTTTTGGTATTCTGCTTTTCAATGGCGAGTCGTAGGCATATCGATGGCGTACTGCACTAATATTAAGTAATTTCAATTCGAAGACTAAATTCCTGATTAAACTGGATAATAATCTCAGTACAGAGTGCTAAAAAACCGACCTCAAAAGTACGTGGTATTACATCCAATTGCCAAGGTTTATTGAAATCGGTTACCGGAAAGTGCGCAAACCCGGATTCATCCCCTAGTTCGCCACTATACGGAACTTGACACAGGAGATAGAGAGAATACTTTTCTTTCTTTCTAGATAATAAAAATCGGTTCTCACTACTCAAAGTACATTGAGAGAGAAAAACGCCTTGAATTGGAGAATAGCAAAATCGACCATTAAAACAATTGCTCTATAAAATAAAATTTAGGTGTTATTTATAAAAATGAATCTTCATGCGTGAACAGCCAACCCTTGAGGTGGATGATTTTCTTCAAAATTAAATGGGACGACTGTGGTATGAGGTATCCTCTTTCCAACAAAAAAAGAATCATCAAAATCGGTTTACAAATACTGAAGTTATCGCGTAACATACATACAAAAAAAAACAAACAGTCGAATTGTGAACCTCCTCCGTTTTTTGAAGTCGGTTAAAAAGTTATTTCCATTGTAGTTTTAGTAATACAACATCGATCGTTAATGATTGAATGAATGAATGCCATCACTGCGATTCCACCATATCCACTGACACTCTATTGCACGGTAGTTAACTTGACTATGATGCCCTAAATAAAACCACGGGCCTTTTTTCTTTCCATTACAGCCATACGGCATACTTCCTAGTTTAGCTTACCTAGGTCAGGTTCAAGCAAGGAGGTTACTTAAGTTCAAAATTAAAACATTTGCTTAAAATTTTATTTAAACAGAAATTTAATTGCAGTCCGGCCACATACTACATAAATACTAATTACTAAATAAAGCCACATACCACATAAAGACTTTCTTATAATTAATTTGAATTATTTTCTGTATAAAAATTTACCAATTTCTTTAGCAATCTATCATGGCTGTACTGAATGCGTGTTTGCTTTTTACAACATTTTAGTTCGAGATGTATTATCTATGGAAGAATTAAAAAAAAAAAATACCCGCCATTTGCCAAATCCACAAAATTGTTGTGTTGTGAACCATATTTATATTGTATTTATTTTCTCGCAAATGTGATGAAAAACATTATATGTATCACGGGCGGTAAAAAAATAAAACTCGAGTTATTAATGCCCTCAGCCTTCGGCTTCGGGCTTCTAATAGTTCCTTGTTATTAATTTCTTATTTACCGTTCTTAATACACAATGTACTATTATTATTCCTTCTTGGGGCACTGGTCGAGTGGGACGCATTTGTTGGAGGCTGTGTCCCGGACAGTGGGTTCGTCACAGTAGCAAGCTGAGTAGTCGCAAAGCATTACGCGGGTGTCCGCTTTAGGTTTTGGGTTCTCGCAGGTGGCTTCGGGTACCAAAAAGTCGCATCCCAACGAGTAGCTGTGAGTGCCTTCTGGACATTCTTCTGAACCTGGGAAATAAATATAAATGTGTTTGTACATACAGAATACGTTGTAAGCAGAGAACACATTGGCCATACTAATTATAGTCGCCAACTTTTGTTAGCAAATTCACGAGAAATAATCGATATCGTTATGTTTTAAAATATATAATTACTATAATATTACAGGTGCGACCATGACTATCATTTTTGCACTCCAAAGTAGAGAATTATGTCAAATTTCTACGATCTTCGAGGGTTTGCGCGAGATTATTGACACGACCATAGCGTAGAAAGTTAAATTTTTTTTCAAATTTATTTTCAGGTTACAAAAGACCAATAAATATATAGACTAACATCATTGACTTACAAATAAATGGACGACGGGTCTAATACAAAAACCACGAAAAAAATGTCCCAAGTCAACCTATTTAAACGTAGTGACATGTAAAGGAATATGAAAAAGCTAAAACGTTAAATTTAAATTGTAATGGCATCGCAGTATCGCGCTGTCAGTCGAACAAATGAAGACTAAAGCGGAGTTTGACGCTCTGTATACGATTTTAACGCCTTACAAGTTCGGACACTTTTTAGCGCGGACCCGACGTCCATATAATTGTAAGTCAATGACTAACATACATAACAATATAATAAAAACTATCTATTTATTTACACGTATGGACCGCGACGTGTGACGCAATGTGGGTGTCCGAGTCGTCCGTGGAAACACCGGAACATGACACCCTTAAGCCAAAAGTCCTCCTTCATGAAGGTCGACAGATATTGAGTTGGTATTCTCACCACAAGTTAATTAAAAATGACGTACAGAGGTCAAGTAAGTGCAACTACGCATACTGTTGGTATTACGTAACACGCCAATTAAGCACTCCTATACAGGAGTGGAATTAATACTTATTCTTGTGTTTAGATATGTAGTAATGCAAGTATTGCCCAACCTTGCTCTTTAGCCTTAACAAGATAACATATTAGATAACCTGCGCCATCTGTGTACATATATTATTGTCGATTAATATATTTATTATATTAAATGTACATTACATGTTACATCCAAAGTAGCGAGTTCTCTGATTGCATAGTTTTGGTTTCGAGTTACCCCGTACATCCAGTAAATTGATAAATAAATATGGCACTGCCACCTAATAAAGAAGTAGTGGTAGCTTTAGTTTGGCCTACCGCCTCACAAGTTTGAGTTTTGCATCATTTTTCAATATCTGCGCCCAAGCGATATTCCATAAATACTTACAAGAGATATCAAAAAGTTTAAAACCGATAGTGAAAGTATCTTACCTAGTGAGTAAATCGACATCAATAAATCTTTAAAAATGAACCGAGAAATATCCAAATTTTTAACATTAATCGCTCCCATACCTTTAATATGACATTCATAGAGAGGCTTTAGTTGACCTATTTTAAGAGGTACTTAACAATAAGCTTACAGATAACAAAACTGCTTTATATAAAGTAATAAAACTATCTTTTAATTGTTTAAAAATATGATGGCATAGTTAATTTCGGTCAAGTGTGACCTGGCCATAGAAATTAATAAAGCTGATCAAATTTCTATTATTTGTTTGTGTATGTTTGTATATCGATGTTTCATGTAAGGATTATTTCATGGGACGAAAAAATTGGGACTGGAGGATATATTTACATCATAATATGAAAAGTATAAATTTTAGAAAAAAACACGTTGCTTTTAAGAAATAAAAACTCGCGATATAAGCCTTATTATGTTCACTAACTATGCTACCTTAGTTTAGTTTGCCTAGTAACGAGTTATTGTTGACGCTAACCGTCTTGTATTAGAATATGGTGTTAATGTTTTTCTTTAACGTTTAATTTGGAATTCTACAGTTTTTGTTATACATAATAAAGGACGTGTATTCAAAGCATACTCTGCGTATTATTCCAACAAATCCTCTACTTTCGATTTTGTTTAAAATGGTCTACTATCTCAGAAATTACTTCAATGTTAACGTTTAGAATAATAACGCATAGAAACCTAAGTAAACCTAAGACGCTAAGTGAGGCAAATTGTAGGGACCCAAATAGGCTTACACGAGCGGGCGGGCCGTCAGTGCTCAAGGTCAACTTGCACCGCGAATAGCTCAAGAATTTTAGCTAAAAATGACGAAATGTGCGGTAAATGAGTGTAAAAATACGTCAGACAAACATAAAATAGATACTAACATCACATTCCACAAGGAAGTAAAGCGTTTTAACTTGTATTTTTATGTAAATATTCACTAAAACAGAAAATTAATTTCGTTGCAACAAGACACGGAAATGTTGGAAAGTAACGGACTTTTTTCTCCCCATTTTTAACCTGAGGATGTTTGCCCATACTAACATAGTTCTAAGGTTTTCTTTTGTAACTAACACCATTATCTTATGGGCTATGGCTTGAAATAAATGGTTTATTATTGTTATAATTTTAATTATTTAACCGACTTCAAAAAAGGAGGAGGCTCTCAATTCGTCTGTATGTTCTTTTTTTTGTATGTATGTTGCGCGATAACTCCGGTATTTGTGAACAGATTTTCATGATTCTTTTTTTGTTGGAAAGGGGTTATTTCTATAGTGGTCCCATTTCATTTTGAAGAAAAGCATCCACCTCGAAGGGTCGCTGTTCACGCATGAAGATTCATTTTTATAAATAGCGCCTTACTTTAATTTAGGAGCAATTATTTTAATGGTTGATTTTGCTATTACTCCAATTCAAGGCGTTTTTCGCTCAATATACTTTGAGTAGTGAGAACCGATTTTTATTATCTCCAGTGTCTAGCCCTGTATAGTGGCGAACTAGGGGATATTTCAATAAAACTTAGCAAATAGACGTAATTCCACTTACTTTTGAGGTCGGTTTTTTTAGTACTCTGCACTGAGATTATGCTATTCTGTTTCAAAATAATTATATTACGTAATTTTTTGAGAATTGATTGCAGAATTTCTCACAAATGTAAGCTATTTTTACGGAATATATTTAGTATTTGCCTTCATTAGTTTCATGTGAGAATCATTATTCTTGTTCATCATACAGGACGCATTTGAAAAAAATTGTCTTGCCGGGACTCAAAAGTTCTTAACTAAACTTATTTCAGAGAACTAACTGACTAAAAAAGTCATCGTTAGTTCTCCAAAGTCGTGTATAATTTTGAGGTTCAGGTTCTTTATTGTTACCATGTACTTTTCATGTGTTTATATTATTCATGTAAATACAAGTTGCTTACGCCTACATAAATTTGATTTTTGCCTCACTTCTGACAGTTCGTTTGATATGAAACTATCATTTTATGCGTTATTATTCTAAGTGTTAACGTAAATAACCGTGGCATTAACGCATGTTTTTGTTTTACCCTACTGGGTTAAAATCTCGCTATGTCCTACTGCAAACTCTGTTTACATAGCCAACGCTTTGAGACGAGTGCATATAGACAAAAAGTAAATAAAATTTACTTAATTTATTTATTTAGGCACATCACCAGGTAGTACATTATTACATCCAACAAATTGTATATTACATTTCCGACCATGGTCTGATGTAATGACCCATTACAGATATGCACAGCATTGACAAGGGCAATAATACCATACTTAGCACTAACAAAAAAAAAATTAAATTAGCCAGTTAACGCACAGTACTATTATTACCTCTAAGACTCAGTATTAACAAGACCCTCTATGAAGTGGCCCAATAACTCAAGTTTGAGCCCTAGTTGCGAGTCATGGAAAATGTTAATATTGACAGAAGCGGTGAAGAAGTTGTATTCTAATAGTATGTTGTAAATTGGCGAGTGCCGACCTAGGTTAGTTCTACACGGGGGAATACAAAAAAATCTTTCGTACCTTTTGTCTAGGAATAGGAGAGATTCCAACTGCTCATTACATTTTATGCGTCCTCTAATGATGTTGGAAAGGAACATGGTCCCCAGAGTAGTTCGACGATCCCGTAATGAACACACACTGTAAAATTCCAAACGACGTCTGTACAGCTAACGGATATGAAAAATTCGGCATTGTAAAAGCAAGATGTCTTGTGAAGGCCCGCTGGATGCTCTCGATACGTTGAGAACGAATGGCGTATGAGGGGTCCAAATAACGCAAGCACTCTCTAGGTGACTTCTTAAAAGCGCATTGTACAGTGAAATTTTAGTTCTGGGGTTTTGAAACTTCTTAGTGTTACACATTATGAACAAGTAGTGCGCCTGATGGTAAGCTAAACGCCCGTCCATAATAGTTACAGTGCCACTCAGAGCTTTAAATTGCAAAGATCTGAGGGGCACTACCACTGCGCCCGTCACTCTGAGACATAAGTTGACAAGTCCCATGTGCCTGTAATTTCACCAGCACCCTTAACCTTTCAAATCCGGAACACAGTAATGCTGACATTACTGCTTTTCGGTAGAAATAGGTAAGGTGGCAGAACTACCCTGGACGAACTCTTTCACAAGGAGCTCTATTGCTAAAAAAGTGGGAGCGCAGCCGTATAGGGGGCAGTACATCATCAACCCACAACACACATCAAACCACGAAAAAATCATGGTAAATTTCGCACATAAATGCAGAGGTGCAAGTCCGGATGTCAACCCACGGCCTCTGCTCGAGAGACGGTAGGTCAAACTTTTAGGCTATCATGGCTAATAATTGCTACAACTTCCTAATAATTTTGTAGTACGATCTACAAAATACTTAAGTATATTCCGTCAATGGAAAAGTACAAGAAAATTTTGTAACTACTTACATCTTCCCATAATATGTATATATGCATCCTCGTTCGTGAGGTTTGGCTGCAGCAAAGCCAACAACCATAAAGACACACAAAGCGACGAAGAGCATCATTGTAAATATTACGTCAGAGAATTGAGACGAGCAATATAACTTATTCCGTCGAACCAAATTAAACAACTGGGCGTGGGATTTAAACAAGTCGCTTTAAATTTCGTGATGACCTTGTGTACATCGTCAACAAATTATTACTTGAAAATGGATTTCCAATTGCCGACGCACTTCTCTGTCTTTATTAAACATTGTAAGATAATCTCATGAACTAGTTCTGTTCTTGTTCTTTCCAAATATTGTAAGGTTCGTGTTAAAAATTCCAAAATACGTGAGAAAATTGCATCAATAAGTTTTATTTATGTATCTGTAATATGTACCAGGATTTCGGCTCCGACTATCTATTTACAGACTTTGGAGTTGAAACTTTTGGCCCGTGGGGTCCCGGTGCCCTTCATCTGTACAAAATTTTGTCTAACAAATTAATAAACTGTCTGGGAAACCCTAGGACCGGCAGCTACCTTGCCCAACGCATTAGCATGGCCATAAAAAGAGGGAACGCTGCCAGTATCTTGGGCACCTTGCCGCGGGGACCCAATTTTGTTCATGTAATTTAATCCTAGTTTTATTTTCTAGTATTTTAGCTTTTATTGTACCTTACCTGTATATTATGAAAATAAAATAGATTACTTGAATTTATTAAGCTATTTTCATGTGTAATTTAAACTAATATTATAAACGAGAAAGTAATTCTATCTGAAACGTTTCACGCCTAGACCGTTGAATCAAGTTTGATGAAATTTGGTATATAGATAGATGGGAGCTAGAAAAAGGACAGGGCATTTTTTGTCACAAAAATAAATCATAAAGTGGGTGAAATAGGAGAAGAAAGTTTGTGTGGAAAACCCATAACCTATTATATCTCAAGTAAGTAGTATAGGCTACTCGAGGTACTTAGTCTATGCAGACGAAGTTGCGGGCATCAGCCAATGTGCAATGATAATTAGAGCTACATCTCTAGTCAGCGATGGTAGCTGTAAAGTTGCCTCTCTGAGTGAAGAAATAAACTTCTCACAGATGTCGCTACGGCATAAAAAGTCGTTAAGAAACCAAAAGTAAAGATCTGCAACAAGAAACAAAGAAAAATTCGTGATGTCCGCTCGTTAGTTCCGTGGCTTAGTTGGCACGGTTTGCTAGAAGAAGTTTCGACTCAAATCCGGCCGGGGCTGGTAGCTGTAAAGGTATCTAACCGGATGACGAAATAGTTTCATAAGATTTCTCATAGATGGCGCTACGACTAAAAAGTCGTTGAAAAACCAAATACAAACACACGACAAAGTACATAGAAAAATTCGTGAGGTCCGCTGGTTCGTCCGTGGCTTAGTTGGTATAGCGTCTGCCACGGTATGCTAGAAGACGTGGGATTGAATCCGGCGGGATTTTTTCTGAGTTTGATCTTTGTATTAATAATTATAACAAACTTGTGAAGTAATTTCACATAAGAAATAGCGACATTTCTAGCCAGAGCTGGTAGCTGTAAAGGTACCTGGGTGACGAAATTCTTTCTTACATTTCTCATAGATGGCGCTACGGCTAAAAAGTTGTTGTAAATTAAATACTCCGACGACAAGCACATAGAAAAATTCGTGAGGCCGCTGGTTCGTTCCGATGATTTTTTTGTAAGCGTTCGATCTTTGTTATTAAAAATATAACAATTTAGTCTTCAAATTAAGTGAATTTTTTTCCATATGAAATAATTAGTAGACTACGTCATCGATGTCTCATCGACTAGCTGTTGAAGAGAAGAATACTAAAAAAAATGCAATGGCAGTTGAATAGTTGCTCGAAGGCTAGCTACGGACAAGCTTATCTTATAGCAAAATACCAAACGTACAAAATCTGCCGTTTACACTCTATCGATACAGAACTGAGTTGATTTAAAATTAGCAGACTTACTTTCATGGGTCAGGGGCCTTACCATGAACTCTTATTACGACTTAGTTTAGGACCTAAAATTAATCGTTGTGAGACAGCGCTACATGAAGTGTAGGTATATCACCATCCCTCTTTTTTGTCGTTACAAACCTATACTGAACTGTAATAAGAGTTTATGGTAAGGCCCCAGAGCGATGTATGTGACGTAGTCTAATATTTATTTATTTATTATTTATCATACTTGTGTTATAACTTCAGTGGAGTTTAAGTGGAATTACGATGACCAGGGTTCTAAGGGCGCTAATAACCGCCTCCAGAGAATGTTTTCTTCTTGGTCCTGCTGAAGGTTCTTTATCTATGTCCGAATAATGTCACAGGACACTACGACCGACATCTCCGGCAATAGTCGGAAGAACTAGTAGATCGAGTAGACTCTGATCCCTCCAGCAGCGTAGATATTTGGAACTGACCGTTTTTCCGGTGCCGGGAAGTGAGCGTGCCTTACAGTTCCGTCACCAAAGATGACATTTGGTATTGGGCTTTAGAGTTGACGGCTCAGCGGTGGTAACCGTCAGTTGCGCAGAGCGCGACGGGAAGTGAGTGTGCCTACAGCGCCGGTACCTTGCCTGCACTGCCTTTCGAGAACCGGATGGTTTCTGTGTAAATGGGTTGATCTGGTGTCAGGACCTGACCTTATAAGGTCTCTGTGCTTGCATAGGTTATAGTGCTCTTCCCGTATAACCAAGAGGTTGATAGGGAGGGTCACTATAAACAAAACTTATGTCGAAGATACGGAATTGAAGGTTCTTTATATCACCAGGTTATGCTCACGGCACCCATTGTCTGAAGTCGGCAGTGCTGTTCACGTCGTTGTCGGATGTTAGAATTTTCCATAACGCACAACCGTGCCAGGTTATCTAAGGTTATGCAAAAAATATATATTCTGACAGTTTTAACCGAAATGTTTTTCTTTTTGTTTTGATAACGGAAGTAAGGGATGTTCTGAAATTGAATTGAATTTGCAACTGTACCAACCACTTGCACCATGAGCGAGTACCGTTGATAACGCAATTGGCACTTATTTGTCCCTCTGATACCATGACACAACACACAAGTGCTAAACCAGGGTACACTTTTCAAAAGTTAAAATTATGAACATGTAGTTTTTTAGTTAGAGTTTGGGGAAAATCCCGAATGGTGCCATTAGACTCAACACACATTGGCGTAGAGTCGAAGAGTCGCGACGCGTCGCGTCCTGTTTTTCAACTACAACGCATGGCGACACTCGCATTAGCGCGCCCGCAACTCAGTGCTGGACCAGTTCAGAGACTTTTGAACATTCGTGAATGGCGCTCGTGCTCGACAGTACACAATGGTTGATATCGATCTTATTATAATCAAAAGCTGATGGAAGAAAAAGAAAACGAAAATGTTGGGTTCACGAGTTATAGAAGAAAGGACGTATACTGGCGAATTCAAAATATTTTGTAGTAACGATCAAAGCCGGACCCAAGATATTTTTATAATTATTATGTTATATGGACATCCATATTTCTGGATGAGGTAAATTAATTTTTTTTCGGCACCGTGCTACGTCTGGTGTGGTCTCTGCGCCAGTGTAAGTTGAGCCTAAAAGTATTTATGTGATCTGTTTATTACTCGACTGCGACGGAGACCAAAATGAGTAACGTTCTTGGATGTATTGTTTTAAAATTAATTTAGCACTATTTAGTCACACTATGTATATAAGGTCAAGGTATTCAGCAATCACCTATTTAGTAAATATTTCAAATTTATCATTACACCGTTCTACTTTGGCGTTAACATACAAGCTTAAAGATGACTACAATATTTCGAAAACTTTTGATACTGTGTTGTTCGTTTCATATTATTACTGGAGGTAAGACTACTATTACTATAATTTTAGTTCACGGCTTCGTTCTTACGAATTAGAACAAGGCTTAACGAATACTCTAAACGAATCTAGAGTTTCATCAAATCCCTGATATAATTTATTTTTACTGAAATGATAAAATAACACTTACTTCGGAAATCAGCAATGATTCCGGCTTATAAATAAAACAAACTAAACCTCGTGATCATAACGTGGAGATCAAATGTCGGATAGAACAAGCGCGTAACGCATTTCTGAAGCTGAGTCATCGACTCTGCAATCGATCGTTGAAGATCTCTACCAGGAGTTTGACACGTTGCTACGTGTTTTCGGTTCTTCTGTATGGCGTCGAGTCCTGGATCTTAACTTAAAATACGAGCAACCGCTTAGAAGCCTTTGAAATGTGAGTATCTAGAATTTTAAAATATCGTGGACGGATAGAGTGTCCAATGAAAGAGTATTGCAGATTGTGAATAAAAAATTAGAGGTCTTGAGTATTGTCAAAAAATGCAACCAACAGTGGTTTGGTCATATCATGCGTAATGATAAATACGACTTGCTCCGACTAATTATGCAAGGAAGGATACAGAGATAGAATCTCCGGACTTTTTTTAATTACCCGAGGGAATCTGCGTACAGATATCCCGGCCCTACGGGGGCAGAGCCGGGGATATGTGGGACTGGGTTGAACCCTGAAGGGGAGGAGCCCGACCGCACTAAACCTCCGGGGTGTTTCTCCTCTCTGCTGGAGGTGGAGGCACGGGTACGCTATCGCTCGTCCGCGCCTTCACCAGCGGCTGGCCGCACCTAGAAGGGAGACACAATGGTCCCCTAACTCCAAATGTAAGGCTCGCCGAACACCAGACGAGCCCTCCATCTCGAGCCCCTATATGCTGGGCAACGAACTTCCCAATATCCCCTCAAATGTGAAGTTCAGGGGATGTTCCCCAGCCCCCGCGGCGGATCTGTTCATAGGCTCCGCCGCAACACTCTACACGCATCCGTGTAGGGTGACGCGAGTCTCTTCGGAGAGTCCACACGGACTCCGAAGAATCTCCGGAAGTGATTCAATGACGTGGACGTGGTTCCGTACAGTTGAGTCTAAAATACGAATAGCTCTAATAATAATAAATAGGTCCCCGGTAGCAAAAACGTTTCGAAAGACATATTCTGCCGATTCTGATACCGAAGATAGTCATTCCAACGGGACTTTTTCGTTAATTACTGATGTTCTCATGGTGGCTTCGGATAAACTGAAATGTACCCATCGTGTACCTACCTGTCGCTTTCAGTTTTAGTTATTTTTTAGAATCGTGAACATGGCGTGCGCACATATTTACAAGTGGAGAGATAATCCAGTTTTGTTGAGAATCCCTGGTTAGTCGTTTGGATTTGACACTTAAGGCAATCTGCGATTTGGGCGATGCCAATCTTGTCAAATATAACGCTACCTAAACACAAGCGTGTCGGTTCTCTACAAAACCGACTCTTCGTGATTTACTTGGACTACACTTGTCGCCAATTTTAACTTCGGCAGATACATAGAATCCATGGCTAAAAATGCAGCCAAAAAGCTTGGCATCCTTTCCAGGGTGAGGCGTTACTTCAGACCGGGACAGTTGCTTCAGCTGTACCAAGCACAAGTCCGGTCGTGTATGGAGTACTGCTGCCACCTATGGGATGGCTCTGCTACATACCAACTGGCCACCTTGGACTCAATCGCCAAGAGTGTCAAGAGGCTTATAGGTGACCCGGAATTAGTAGATGCGAAGCTGCAGAGTCTTGGACACCGCCGTAAAGTTGCCTGCTTATCGGTATTCTACAGGATATATCGCAGAGAGTGTGCGAGGGAATTGCATGAATTAACTGCCTACGGACTTGTTCCCTGAACGTTATAATTTGGATCTTTTCAAGGCGAGAGTGAATATAGGTGTGCATACTCCATCTCGACTTCATCGTCACTTTTCAACAGGTGAGACGGAAGTCAAATGCGCACTTATATTTTTAATAAAAAAAAAATATCGTGGCAAATTGATCGTACTGTGGACTTGTAAAACTATCTGCTATAATGTTCATTCTATATTTTACAGACCGCAGTCCCGACGCCACGATAAATGGATGCTCCGACCTGTTCAAAAGTAAGTATGAAAAGAATTTTCTATTCATCGAATGGCTAGTTCATCGGTTTTCATGGTGTCACTATTCGAGCGATCCCCGGTCGAGTCAACTTTTTTTCTATACGCAAGATTCGTCTATTGGAGTACACCTTCACATTACAACCTTGTCTCTCAGGGAGCGTCCAGATCTGTGGAATGTGCCGCAAATAAATGCGCCTGTTTATGAAAGATTCGCAAACTACACACGAGCATTACGTTGTGTGACCTGTTCGCGTGCCGTAGACGCGCCACTCGCGCGCCACAAATATTTAACACGTATTTAATTGCATAGGTTCTCAAACTTCTTGGCTCACTTACGAGCGATAAAAAATTTTTAACAACAAATCATTGAAAACACTTCTTTTATATATATCAAGTTAACACCAAAAATCACAAGGAAAAAATAGCAACATCAACAGCATCAACGACCCCCAATTGCTTCCGAGGCCCACTAGGACTCTTCAGCGCACACTGGTAGGGTCCGCTCTGGGAAGCTACGTGCTAGTGGAATATGTCTAAGTTTCATGACGATGTTTTCCTTGACCGAAAAGCTCATGACAAATTTCAAATTAAATATCGCACATAAATTGCCAACCAACGGCCTCCGCTTGAGTAGTTGGTAGGTCAACCCATTAGACTACCATGGCTATACGAGTATTATATAATAGGAGTTAATGTTTTTAATACACGGCGCATGATTCAATGTAACTCAGGTTTCGCTTATTTACAGATTTCTATATGAGTGGTCTTCCAGATATTGACATTTGGAAGTACAAAGAATTTAGCAAAGGTGACGTACAATGCAAGGGAAACTTGAAATACAGCTCACCGCTTCTGTTAAAATTGGAATGTCATAGAAAAATAGAAAACTTCTTGTATAACTCATTATCCATTCATCAAACAATATGGCAGACTGGCGAATGTAAGTAAATTAATTAGTAAATATGCAGTGTTATGCGTAGAGAAGTGTTCTGTGTACAGTGCCTCTGTGAGATTACAAGGACGCTTTAGTAACTGCTGCTTACCTATTTGTACCGCCAAACAGTAATGTGAGCATTACTGCGTTCCGGTTTTGAAGGGTAAGGGTGCTGATGAAATTACAGGCACGTGGGACTTGTCAACTATGTCTCAAGGCGACGGGCGCAGTGGCAGCGCCCCTCAGATCTTTGCGATTTAAAGCTCTGAGTGACAATGGAACTGTTACGGACAGGCGTGTAGCTTATCATCAGGCACTCGATTTGTTTGTCTCATGTATTAAAAAAAATGTACAAAATGTTGTTTCTTCTTGCGACCGCTAGGGGCGCTTTATAATTTGCCACACACAATTGTGAAGTAATTTACGCGGTCGCTAGCGACAGCTGTCACAGTAATGATGAATAGTGGTACGTTCCGACAGTAGGTCTCGTTAGGCCTACACGAACTTAGTCCGCCATTTTCGCTTTGTAAGGTATATAGTTGTACAAATTCTCTAAAACCGTAGAAAAATTGCTCATTGTCCTGTTTTGGAGCGCAGAAATGATAGTCGCACCAAAATTATTATCCGTGGTGGTATTTTATATCATTTGAAAGTTTTATTTTAATAAATGTTCAATTTTCTGTTTATTGAAATATTTTTTTGTTACAAGAAACGAAAGTAAAGCTTATACCCCTGCAATATGGTCGTTTCTTGTTTGGAGAACTAAATTAATAACTCCAATTCGTCGTCGTTCAGCAATTAACCGCTAGATGGCAGTACATTGATTGAAAATTCTATATAATATCAAAACGTTG